TCAGGGTAGAAGCCTTTAAAAATAATAAAAAGTGAAAAAAAATAATAGTAGGATGCAACCCGTTAGAAAAGGAGGGCAATATTATAAAAATGAAAGGAAAAATAATTTACGGGCGATCTGAGGTCGGGAAGGGGATGGGGGTGAGTTTTTAAGGGTAAAAAACGGTTTTTCTCGATTTCCGGCAAAACTAAAAGTCCTATCGAAAAAAGTCAAATGGTAAAGTTGTAGGTAATAAAAAGATATAAAACTTTTGTATTTACACTTTTTTCACATAACCTCAAAATTTATGTGAAAAATTCAAAAAACCAAGTTTTTGGTTTTTTATTTTTATCTTTTACAAAAATGTTTTTGTTTTAACGAAATATCCAATTAACTGACAGACAATACACAGCCAAAACGTAGATCAACTAAAAAAGTCCAAGAGTTTTTAAAAAAACAGATTTTTGTTTTGAAGTTGTTAACTTTTAAAAAATCACCCCCCAAAGGTTAAATAAGGGATGAAATATTATGATGAAGTTCGTCATTTTTGAAGTTAGAAATATGGAAATTAATGCTGAAACTTCTGTTTATATCTATGGGAAACTCTATAGGGTTGATTGCGCTTGATCGCTAATAAACAGTAAAAGTACCTTAAGTTAATACTTAGATGGTTTATAGTAGAAAGTTATTACAGTGCTTAGAATATATTATGATAAATTACGTATGTATAGTTTTATGTATATCATTAAATTAGTGTAAGGTAAGATATTAAAAATTCATTTGTATCTGTATATGTATCTGGTTTGGTTCGACTATAATTGTAAGTTATATAGGCTAAGTAAGCTTTTTTTTTATTTTTTTTTAACACACAGCACTATTTAGTCCCATGGTCAGCTACGAGGCTTGTGTTATGGATACCAGATAGTTAATACACTACACATAATATATAACTTTAAATACATAAATATTACTATTAGAATGATTATTAGAATTAATGTTAATTGTTATAATTATTTTCATTATTGTAATTTGATTATTGTTATTATTATTGGTTTTAACTAGATCTGCTATTGTTCAGTTCTAGTTAAAACTAATAATAATAATCTTCTCTTCATATTATTTTTCCAATATTGTTAACTGTTTTTTTTTGACTGTCCCTGCTGAATTTATGAATTATTTTTAAGTGGAAACTTTACGGGTTTATGTGTTATATATAATTATTTATTTCTATGTAATACTTCCGCTGGGCATGGGCTTCCCCTCAATGTGAAGGGGACCAGGCCATAGTCCACGCTGACCAAGCGCAGGTTAGCGGAATTCACATGTCTTACAAAAATTATTCAGGTTCTATTAGACATGCTTTTCATCATAATGTTTACTGTATGTTGTTACAAATGGAACCTAATAATTTTGAAAATGATTCGTACATGATAATATTTTGAACCCGCTTTGTTAGTTGCCCAAGTCCACCACTGGGCTACAACTGCCTCTATATATATATATGGGTTCTTATCAATACAATCTCAGTAATTTCTATGTCGTATAAGAAGTCGTGCCGAATATTGGAGACAATGCCACAGGGATTATTCAACCCTCGTGCTTATTATTCATACCGGTACAATACTTGTTTGACTCACAAATTCTTGCCTCCGACATATTCTAACTTGTACGTCTGGCTCTTAAAATATGCGTTTGGATTTCTATTGTTGAAGTTTTTAGGGTTCCAAAGGAAAATATAGGATGAAGCGTGCAAAATTTTGTTACTAAATAATAAATATTAGTGATTTTTTTAATGTTTACTTAATTTGCACAAAAATTAACATAATATATTTAGTAATATTATTGTTAGATGAAAAAGTAAAAAAAAGTTTAGTGCTCGAAGGAACAATTTTCCATAGAAACCTAGAATCGTAGAATGTCCTGACTTTTTATTTTTTATTTATTTAATCATTTATTTCAGGCAATATTTACAAAAAGATCTTCAATATGTAAACAGAGGTCCAAAGCATAATATATGCCTTAAAACTAACAAATATATTAATTATAACTATTTAGCACGTAGTCCACACGTATGAGCTGTGTCAGCGGGCAAACGCCCTCGGAATTTCCGAAACACGACGCCCTGCGGCCAGAAATCCTCCTTCATGAAGGTTGGCAGATGATGAGTCGGCATTCTCACCAAAAACGAATTGTGGCGAGGTACCAGCCGTTCAACCCTCAATTTGAAACTGGACCTCTTCTGGACGTAGTCTACGACATCCTCGATCGTCGTAGACCAGTGCAATCGGGAAACAAATTTATAAAGTGTGCGGTTTCAAATTGACTAGATATGTACCTACAACCGAGAAGAAAATGAAAATTTACAAGTGCTTCCGTATATTATAAACCGACGGTGAAGGGTGCGATCATAGAAGCGTGACGGTGGCACCATATCAAAAAGTTCATCAGAACACTCTCCATTATATAGACGATAGAAAACACACAGAGAGCCAACATCTCTCTAAGGGTTAGAAAGTCGTCTGTGAGTATGGGATCATCGACAATACGAAGTGCCCGGCGTTGGATAGAGTCAAATGGAAGAAGCTGATATTGGGGGGCGCCAGCCCAGAGATGAGAACAGTACTCCACGAGAGGGAAAATTCACTTTCGCAAAATGCTTATAATCCCTTACAAGATAAACCCACTTTCTAATAGTAAAAACCGTATGAAAATCCGTACAGCAGTTTCTGAGATTACCATACAAAGAACAAACACAAAAGCAGCGCGGCGGGGAACTTTTTAATTCATAATATGTAATGATATCGTACTTTTGTAAATTATCAATTATTTACTTCAAAAGGATTGAGTTTCAATCGACTTCATAAGGAGTAGCATCAAACTTGTGACCGTCATGGTCTATGTTAAATAAAATACAATTTTAACACGTCGTTTTAACTTAACTTAGCTAACTTTTCATTTATAATTTTAGTACTTGAAAACTCGTTAATTCTATTTTTCATAAAAAACACATTTTTTAAGTACAAAAGCTTTATCTTATATTCTAAGTAATGTCTATATACCTACGGTAGTTTCGCATTCTTCGCTGTAAGCCTCTTTAGCTCAGTGGTAGAGCACTGGTCTCGTAAACCAGGGGTCGTGAGTTCAAACCTCACAGGAGGCATAGACGATTTTCTTTTATTTTTTTATAAATACTCGATTTTACCGAAAATATTTTACAAAACTTACCATTGCAGTATGTTTTGAATATTTTATAATATTAAAAACGCATTTCTTTCATTGCTTTAATATACAAATCGTATGTTTTTTATCTTATTCTTTTAGTAAAAGTATTTGCAAATAAAAAGGGGTTATTTTAAACTTTAGAATTTCAGCTTTAGAAAATCTTTGCTGTTTACATTTTTTTGACCTAAGTATCTAATTGGTTATTGCTTACGTACTAAATATTCATATTAAAAATATCTAATAGTAAATGAAATGAAATAAACTTTCAGTTGGACTTATAATAAGTGCTTTGGAATAACTAAGCAAGAAAATGTGATGAAGAGGACTAGAGGTCCCTAATAAAATTATCCAAAATTATGTTATAGATTATTTTTTATAGTAACATTATTTGACTTTATAAATAAATTACAATGTTCCTGGCACTTAAGAAAGTAGGTGAGTAAAATAAAAAAATATTATAATGGCTCAATAAAAAAGATTTTTTTTTATAATAATGTATAAACATATTTAATAGTCATCTATAAAAACATTTGATTGAACATAATGATAAAATAAAGATTTTTTCTGGATACTTTGGTTTTTCTGCTTTTTGGCAGAAAACTTCGGACGTAGATGGTGTCTGATTAAGCAAAGAAGAATTAAATATTGCGTTCTTACATCTCATAATACTTTCTTAGATTTACGCGAATATTTGACATTTTAAATAAAACTATCTTTTCGGATTTTTTCGCGGATTTATTTTGATTTTTGGTTCCCGACGTTTCGAATGCTTTACAGCATCCATGGTCACGGGAAAGACTGAGGTGTTACACGTCTCGAGGGTATAGTTGTTACAGACAGCCTACCCACAATTAACAAAATTCTTACGTCTCCACAATTTTGCTATTTCTCTGATAATTGAACTAGATCTGGGTTAATAAGTATGTATGTACTACGTTCGTAGACCGAGCTTCTTATACAGCTAGTGCTGAGCTTTTACCTCAGTTTTTAGCGGTCATGATAGTCGATTTAGTTTTTTTTATTTTACTATATTTAACACATTTTAAGGCTCACATGGGCATCATCCAAGGTGCTTAGACAAGATAGTATTCAACTATTGACGAAAAAAATGTTTGCAAATGACGTAATAATATTCTATGACTAGCATTGCCCGCGGTTCCGCTCGCTTTCAGATGACCAAAAACCAAATTCTTAGGTTTTACATATTAGTTATTCTCTTATATTACAGTTTTCGTTCTTTTTCTCAGAAATGAGATATTTTTCCGCGGTAAAAAGTATCCTATATGTTGACCCGGAAAACCACTATCACCATACTAAATTTCATCAAATCTGTGATGTGGTAACAGACAGACAGACAGACGGACAGACAGACAAACAGACAGACAAAATTCTAAAAACTATAGATTCAGCCTCTGTATCGATAATAATGTTTATTTCAATAAGATTTTCCAAAAAATATCTAATGTGCAGATTCGGCTTAGTTACAATTTTATTATTGAAATCAAATTTTATTTATGTAAGTAAGGCATCACTTATAATTAAGCCCGAATTAGGGCCATCTCATTGTATATAATGGAGTAACTTTACTAGTAATACGCGTAGTAAAATGTCGTCTGTGTGCATCATGATGTCATGACGATGACTTATTTAAATATTTTAACTTCATATTATTAAGCATTTTTTTTGTTTCAGATTCCATAAAAACGGAATTTTCTGTTAATTACAATACGTAAAAACCAAAACCAGTAATAAATTCATAGACTATCAAAAAAGTAGAAGTGGTAATAACATTAATAAACATGAAGTTTTTGCTGTGTATCGTCAGTGCTTTAACTTTAGGGGGACTTTGCAACGCGAACTACTGTCGAGATGCAAATTTATGCTGTCCCGGCAGAGATAGTTCCTGTGTAGTGCAGAAAGCTCACCAAAATGCGATAATAGAGGATTTAACGGATAAGCCGTGCTACTGTGACCACGCTTGCTTGAAATTGGGAGACTGCTGTCCTGATTTTAGAGAAACGTGCGGAGGTATGTATTTTAGTTAGATTGAGCGATGTTCGTTTTAGTTGACTGCATTAAAAAGTTTATGTTAATACTTAACGCCTCCAGATAAATTTCTAATAAATTAATTAAATTTCTAAGAAATCTTTTGTTAACTGTAACGCCGGCGTGTCCGCGGTCGTGGAGGGATTAATATATAATTATACGTGTATGTTTCCTTTAGTAGATATTTACTCTAGCTAGATGGTTCTTTAATATATCTATACTAATATTATATGGAGGAAAGATTTTTTTTTTGTTTGATTGTACCGAATAAGCTCCGAAACTACTGAACCGATTTAGATGAAATTTGGTAAGAAGAGTAGCATAAGATGATGTGTTGCTATTTTCTTCTTAATTTGACAATGGTAAAGATACAATACTGATAAATCCTATCTTGCGATTATGTTTATTTACTTATTATTATAAGTCATAAATTCTATATGGAATGTCAAAAAGTTAACTTAGTTTTAGAGCAGTCAAATAAAGAAGTCACAGTTAAAATTTACCTTAATAATTTAAATAATGGTACGCTAAGCTCAATAAGCTTTTCTTAATACTTTCTTAGATTTACGCGTATATTTGTCATTTTAAATAAAACTATCTTTTCGGATTTTTCGCGAATTTATTTAGATTTTTGGTCTCGGACGTTTCGAATGCTTTACAGCAATCATGGTCACGGAAGAGACTGGGGTTTAAATCAAATTAAATCAAATCAACCACTTTATTGCGATCTTGGGTTAGTACATACAGTTAGATTTTGATAATAATATGTATATTTAATGTTCAGCCAAATTCAGCTTTAAGATGTCTCAATAGCAAAGCGAGCTTCTCTGGTTAGTAGGTAATATAAATTAATATTGATTTTACAGAAATAAAGAATTATTCATTGTATAAATATTGACAGCTACTTTTTTTTTAATTTAACAAACCATAATGAGGTGTAGATCTAAAACAATATAAATAATATCGCCAGCGAAATCCCTTTCCTGCACGACAGGCGTTTTATTAAATAATATCACACGACGTAATCACCGGATTATGACGGCTGTACCTTGGGGAACTCCATGACCCCTATTTTAATATTGCATCCGTACCTGAGGTATGAAAAATGTATCATTTTATTAAATATTAATATTTTTGTATCCAGTAGTGTGTGATATTAAAAGCTTTGAGTTTGAGATTTATTTTAAAAACTGGCGGAACCTATAGACGTTTTCCTGTTTAAATTTCAATAAAGTTTGTGATCTTTTGAGTTTGTTTGAGTAGATACAAAAGTCTTATAGAAGAAAGCACGAGTTTTCACAGAATTTCCGAATTTTCCGGGCATATTTTTTCCATTTTTTTGATATTATCTTATTCGGGTTATTACAATGATTTAAAAAAATAGCATTTTATCTAGCCGTTGGTCACTGGTCAAATGATGTGCTTTTTAAAGAACAGAATTACATTTTATTTATTTAAAACTATTTTATTTATCTCTAAGACCGCATTTGGTATATCGAATGTGAAAAGTGATTATAGAGTGCTTCCATATTATAAATGTGAAAGGGTCTGTTGGGTTGTCTTTATATGTCAAAAATAAAATATACAACATATTTGTTTGCCATATATATATATATATATATATATATATATATATATATATATATATATATATATATATATATATATGTAAGTTAAGAAAGCTTCAAAAAGTATTATTAGTATATGAGATATTCTTATAATGTCAAAATTTACGATACGGTTTCTTGAGTTTTACAGCGAAATATATCAAAGAAAAAGATTGTTATTCCACCGAAAATCGGCTCTTACAAGCCATTATATGGGATCACGTAAAAATTAAATCAAATTTTATACGTGAACGTTAACATGTGTCGCATAAATTCACATACTGCGGTATAAAAGCGGCTAATCCTCACGTAATATGTACCACCATGTTTTCTTACAAAATTGGCTCCATTTTGCTGCCGAATTTATTGATCTAATATTGCTATGATCTCTTCATATAGTTATTAAGTACCTATACAAAAATAACTTATTGAAAAATCGTGTTATGGTAGTTGTAATCAAATAAAAATGTCTGTTTGCTGGAATTTGTTATACAGATGTGATATATTCATTTATCTCTAAATTTAGTTACAAGTGTCATCTCAAATCTCAATTTGGTTCATACCTAATGGGAGAAAAATTTTGAAAGAAGGAAAAGGGGAAAATAACCTCGTTTCATTGAGGCGCGTCTTAAATATCTTTTACCGTTTTCAGAAAGGAAAATCGGGTGTATAATTCTCTCTAAATACTTCAATTGTGAATCGATTAGATTATTCTCTTTTAAATGGATTGGTAAACTCAAATTTTAAAATTAATGGACACCTAAGTGTGACATACACACGCACACGCACACGAGCACGCGCACGCGCACGCGGACGCAAACACACACACACACGTACACAAACACGTACACACACGTACACACACACACGCAGACGCACACGTACGCACACACACACACACACACGTACACACACACATTTACAAATACATACATTTATAATAGTAATCACTAAGGTAAGTAAAGATGACAATGAACATTTCATCTCATCGCGAACACTGTAGGTCGCATATTTTACGATGCAAGGAAATTTTAATACTGGCATTTCTTTAGGGAAGAAATTATTATAAAAATGATAAGATTTTGTTTCCAAGTTTTGGACGTTTTGTTGTTCTTCCTCTTATCATTTTTTACATTTACGGCCAGTTATAAAATACTTAATGGTTGTTTGTATAGGACCGGAGCATTTAGGTAATAAATTAATATAATAAGGATGCTTGTAAAAGTAAGTGAAATCTTTTTTTGAAATAATAAAACGTCTTAATACAATGTTCATTTCAATAAAACTTGTTTATAATATTTAAATTAGACTTTATATAGCTCTACCTATTCCTATGTAGGTGATATTTTAGAAAAAAGTTCTTATTACATATAAGCTCCATTAAAATTATACCTAAGTAATATTTCAGAGCGAAAGCTTATTAATATTACAATAAAATATAGGTTTCGATACTTATTCCACTATATCAGTAGGTTTTTGATAGAAAAAAAATCGGTTAGGTAATTTCGGAGTTTATTGAATACAAACAGACAAATAAATCTTTCCTATATATAATATTACTTATACGTTATATATAACATGTTAATATGTATTTAAATTGCTCGCTCTAATTTTTAGTACTGTTCTGTATGTTACTTGTTCACGTTATAACGACTTGACAGATTTGTGTGAAACTCTTATTGAAATATATTAAATTTTAGGATTAACACACATTTTATGCCAACGTTACCGCTATATGAGCAAAATCGCGCACTAGAAGTAGTAAAAAGAGTAACATAATTTATAACTAATCAGAAAACGTTGAAAAAAATTGCATAAAATATAAAAAATCAATCAATATCTTTACTATGACGTACGTATTAAATATTTTTTGTGGATAAGAAATTTTATAGCAGATTTTTTTATGATAGCTAGATTAGTAAAAAATCACTTACTGTTAAGAGCTTCTTATATTAAAACTTTTAATATTTATTTTCAACGCTCTGCAGAAGTTTAAGAAGTTCGTAAAAATACACCACGATGGCTGTTCATGAAATCACTTTTTCATTTCATTAGAAAAAATATTAAATATATTTTATCTGTGAAATATAATTCAATTTATTGAAAAAAAATCAAATTATATATATATATATATATATATATATATATATATATATAACACTCTTTTTCGTCGTGGGTTAAACTGATGTATAATTAAACTGAAAATACAGTTATGAAATTTTTAAATGTTTTATTATAAATTCTAGTTTTATTATAAATGTAGTAAAAGCATTGATACATATATAAAAACATAAATACATATTTGCTAACAAATAAGTATCTCTTCAAAAAGTGGTGTCGACATGTGCCGTTAAGTCTAATCAAAGATGAAATTCAAAAATCGAAAGTTCTAATTTCCTAAACACAAATTCGTACTTACGCATACCACATAAAGTACTTTATTAAACGAAACAACGTGCGTTTTAATTTTGTCATCCGAAAAGCAATGAACAAAAGAGATTTGAATAAAGCGTACAATTTTTCTAATTGTGCACTTTTTTCTTGAGGACGCTTTTAAGAAGTCATTTGTGAATCTTGAGTTTTTGTATATCTTAATCTTATCTCTAAACGAGCAATTCTTATATATATATATATATAATCTGAACCTCGGAAACGGCTCCAACGATTTTCATGAAATTTGCAATACAGGGGGTTTCGGGGCCGATAAATCGATCTAGATTAGTCTTGTCTGAGAAAACGCGTGTTTTTGAGTTTTTATGCAATTTTCTTTTGCATTATTCCACGCAAAATATGGTCGGTAATTTGCACGCTCGGACGTAAGCATTGTGGTCAAGCGGCCAAGGTGCAAGATCAACAATCACAAGTGTCCAGGTTCGAAGCTCGGTCGCATACAAAGTTTTTACTTTTGTTTTTTTTTTAATATTTATTCAAGTTTTTAGTCAAAAAAAAAGAAAATAGTACTTTAGGCCAAAAACTCCGAGCGATACTCGGTAGCCCAGGTACTTAGTAAAAGGTAAAAATTACGTATTATTATTATTATTATTGTGTTGGGTGTGGTGCCGAGGTCGGCCCTAGCTACGTCGACCAGTTTTGGTCCATTGTAGCTCCCTTTATAGTGAGTTCAAAGTTCTCCGCTTAGTCCTGTTGACTCCAGGAACTTCCAGATTTTCTGAGCGGGGAGCATCTGTATCTCTTCCGGTTGCATAATATGCTGCCCTAGATAGATACTTCTGCGGTGCTTGAGTGGACCGCACGAGCAGAGGATGTGCATAGCAGTTTCCTCTGTCTCATGGCATAGTCTGCACATTGCGGTCTGACTGAGGCCGAGGGTAAACATATGTTTATTGAGTTTGCAGTGGCCAGTAAGTATTCTGG